AGAAGTTTGGAGAAGAGCTGAGGAAAGGAAAATAAATTTAAAGGAGTTTTACAAACTTCAGTGCGTGAAAGTTTTAAAGTTTGCTGGGTTTTTCTGAAAAATTTAAAAAGATATTTTACCAGCTTTATTTTGAGTATTTCCTACTTGTAATCATAACATAATAAATTCATAAAAGAAAAACTAGCACTTCAGCAATCTAAGCTAAGTAACAGAGTTTTAAAGCAATGTGGGATCTTTTAAATGTTCCAATATGGGTTGACTTATATGAGTTCCTTAATCACAATATAAATAAATCAACTCGTAAAATGATTAAGAGGGCAAGTACTCTTGTCAATTCCAGAATCTTAACACTTGACATTTTGGCTTTCATTCGAAGAGCCGTATGACTTCTGTTTAATTAAAGTCGGTTAGACACTCAAAAGATAATATATAGTTGCAGTGTTTTACTCTTCTGTGAGCCAGCACCTCACATACATTCTATTCCATTTTATTTTGTAGTTGCCATTTTTTAATAATACTCGCAAGAAGACCCATTTATCAATAAAAATCAATTTTTTCATTTTAAGCGTATAATCCATCAATTGAAATACAATTATATTATTGCTTGACCCAATTCTTCATACATTTGAAACAGGCCTAATGAAGTGTAATCTTTAAATTCTTTAGTCAATTTTCTATTATGAACAAAATTGAAAAGAAACGTCTTCTGGAAAGGAGTAGTTTTAGAACAGGAAAAAGTCAAACATATTCTACATCAATATTACGTATACCAAATTAAGTCGAACTAGCTTTAGTCAAAAATAATTTTGGACACTTTTTTGGATCAAATACTTTACAGTGTGAGGTACACAAAGAGGCATTAAATAAGTTAAAATAAGTAAGTATTTAGATAAAGTGTATACTATGTACCTAACGTATAGAGATATCGTCATGTAAGGATTTTTTATGGAACTAGTGTCATTGGATCTTTCTTTATCGGAATTTTTTTTATAAACAGTTTTTGGACACCTTGTAACTCAAAAATTTTTAATAATAATATAATAAAGAAATAATATGTAGCATTAATATGTTAGACTTGTGTTGTGAAAGTACCAATGATGTCCTAAAAACTCTATTTAAAAGAAATAAGATATTTTTCTACCAAAACTATGTACATTTGTTATTTGACAATTAGAAGAGCTTAAGCAATCAGATCATTGAGTTTACTTTTTTTATGTTTTTTGTTGTTTGTTGTTTGTTGTTGTTGGCAAAAAAGATTAAAAATGATTTTAATAGAAAAAGTTAAGTAGTAGAGTATTCCTTAAATTTATTATCTAACAATTTTATGACCACAAAAATGCTTCATAAATTTCAATAAACTGGAGTTTTTATTGTTTCTCTGTCAATAAGCGGCAAACTGCATAAATTTAATTTACCAAAATTGTTTGTATTTTATTTGGAAGTTTGTTATTTTTGGTCTTTTTTCTGAGCACTTATCCTGCACTCTCCTCTCCACTCTGTACTTTCGGTTAGTATCTTTTCAACATTTTATTTTTATTTGCTACATAAAACGGTGGCATATGGCATACGAACCAACAACTGAACAACTGAACAACCGAAAACCAGTGATGAAACCATCGAATACGGCCAACTCATTCCGGTTAAATGAAATTGTACTTTTAGACCTTGTAGTGGAAAAAAGTTTTTGCTTGATTAGCTTGCAAAAATATATAATAAAATTGAATAACAACACAAATGCAAAAGTGTTGATAACTCATGGAGAAAGGATATTTTTATTTAACATGTAAATAAAATTCATAAAAATTAGAAAGTTCGTGAAATTGCGGAATGAGCTCAAAAAATGTACTAAATTAGTGCCTGGCTGTGAAAACACCTGGCAACTGTGCAATTTTCCACCATTTCCACCATTTCCACGATTTCCACATTTCCTGCTCTGAACTTTATTTTCTACTCAATGAAAATGTAATTTTATTATTTGCAATTTTTATGCAT